TTGCAATGCAACCATTCTATTTATCTTCATTTACTTTTCTGTCAAAAAATCACGCAATTGACATGACTTCTCACCTGTTGCTTAGGGTCACCAAAAAAAGAGGGCACCCAAATAATAAGTATAATTTTTAACTGTAATTTAAATTGACCCAAAAATTTTAGTTTAAAGGGCTTAATCTAATGAAAATTCTTACAAGGCATATACTAAAATAAAGGCCCAATTCTCATCTCTCTCTCACCTTTTTTAATGGTTAAAATTTAAAAGCCTTGAAAGTTGGGGCGCTTAGGGAGGCCGGTACCTCCCTAAAAACTTAATAAGATAAAAATATATTTTTTAAAATAATTAGGATAAAAGTACATCTGTTAAAAAAAAGTCATAAAAGTCATTTTACCTCTATCATAAATAGTGCATATCTAATTGACAACTTTTGTATTTTTAATATCTAAATATTGGAATGTGAGACTTTCAAGATTCCTTTTGATATTTGTGTAGTATTTGATATTATATATATATATATATATATATATATATATATATATACACACATGCGTGTATACACACACACACACACATATATATACATATATATTAAATAGTAACACGATCAACAAAAAAATAGTAACATCAAACAGTGACACACTTAATAAAAAAATAGTAACATCAAATAGTAATATTTATATATATACACACACGTGTATATATATATATATATATCAAAAGGAATCTTGAAAGTCTCACATTTTAATATTTAGATATTGAAAATATAAAAGTTGTCAATTATGAATGCACTATTTATGGTAGGGGGTAATTATGGAATACATTTTAAAAAAAATTGAAAATATTTTAACATTTGTACTTATTAACATCTATTTGATGAAAAAAAGGATTTAAAGGAGGAAAAGTTTGGAGGTAGTATTTAAAGCCAAATAAATTTTGAAAAAGGTACTCACATCCCATTATCTCAAATTAATTTTTCACAATTAAAGCCTAAAAGTCTACTCTCTCTCTCTCTCTCTTCCCACAAGTAAAAAAAATTCAAATAGCATAATTATGTATCTCTCTCCTGCAACCTAGATTAAATTAAAAAGATACATATTTGTTTGGTTAGTAATTTAATTTTTTAATACTTTTATTGATAGAATTAATTTAATGCAATTATTCTTTTTTATTGTGAAAGTTTGAAATAGTAGATGATTTGAGAGGCGAACAAATTGTCAACTTAAAACTTATACAATTTTATTTATCATGTAATATTGTGTTTAATTCTTAGTGACTTTTGTAAGATATTAGATTATTTTCTTAGTATAATTATTAGTTAGTTTAAAATATATTTTATTTACAAAAATTTTTAGTTTGAAATATGTCAAGTTTTTTCAAAATTAAAACTCATAAAATTCTACTTACGATCAACTATAGCACAAGAAATATTGAATGAATTAATCATATTATTCATTGAAAAAATATACTAGCAAAACTCAAATATAAAAATTTGATTACTAATTTTACATCACAAAAAATGAAAAAAATAAATTTTGAACAAAATTTTAATCATACAATAAATTTTTTTTTATTAATTTTGATAGGCCCTTATTTAACACCTTCACTTAGGCCCCAGTTTTTATTGGGCCGACCATGACTTGTCGTAGTTGGCCTCTCTTTTAATTATTGAGATGATTGATTATATTAAATGAAAAAAAAAATCAATTTAAAAAAATTGATATTTATCACATCTTCTCTCTCATCTTAACTCTCTTCAATTATCTGCCGTCTCTTTATCATTAGAATGAGTTTTGCGACACCCACTCTCACATGTTTGTGGATAACATCTATCAACTATTATTTATCTGATTTTGAACTCTTGATACCTCACTCCTCCATGGCACAAGAACAAGCTACACTCTCTCGAGACTATGAGATAAGTGGGATAAAAGTTTCGTGCACCCCTAATGCTAGGATAAGTCTTTGGTACTATGTCAATTTGTTTTTTTGGGCACGGGGTGTTATCCATGTGCTAGATAACAGATAAGACTTGACAATAATGGATCTTTAGTTTAATGATACTTATTATTTTGTGAAGGTTTTGTCTTTTTGAGGTCAAGAGTTCAAGTTCCCCCTCTCCCCCCCAAAAAAATAGATAAGTTCTAACACGTATAATTTTATTTTTTAAAATAATTTTTATGGATGGTTCAATGGTTGAATTTGATATTTGATAATACAGAACTTTTAAGTTTAATCTCTTTTCATATTTCCTAAGAGCTACTGATCCTTGTCTTTAAAGGAACATGCTCTAATCCAGCTCAAATTACAATGATAAGCTGCTAAGTTCGAAAGAATAGTCGGTATAAACTTAAACACCCTAATTATTAATTTGATCCTTTTTTTTTGGTCAAGGAATCCCTTGAATTATACCCTTATCTCATAAGTACTTAATCCCTTCAATTATGTCCTTATCTCATATTGTTATTTAATTCTTATGTTTCTCACCAGGAGCGGCTCCATACAATTGGAGGCCTAAAGCAACCGATATTAAATAAATTTTTTATTTTTTAAAAAATAATTTAAATCTTTTTTTTTTTTGTCAATAATAAAATTCTCTATAAAATCAACTATATATAGGAAAGGTTAAGCAAATTAATTATTCAGTAAATCAAAAAAATATGTTAGCCAAACTTAATAAAAAAATGTAATAACAAATTTTCTATTCAAATGGCAAAAAAAAAAGATTTAAATTATTTTTTAAAAAATAAAAAGTTTATTTAATATTGGTTGCTTTGGGGCTCCAATTGTATGGAGCCGCCCCTGATTGGTCCATCATTGTCACGAGTCCATTTCTGGTTTAATTTTGAGGCCACTACGGCCTTACAACCCCAGGCCAACCTTTTGGTGTTAATGTTTTTGATAAAAGACTTTCTGGCCACTATGGCCTTACAACCCAGACCCACCTTTTGGTGTTAATATTTTTCATAAAAGACTTGCTTCAAATATATTACAAACTATTTTGTAAAATATTGCAATTTTTTTTTTATTTTTATTTTACGAACTTGTAGTCTCCCATTCCACAGCTAGGGGTTTTGATTCAGCAAAGGTATCAACTTCCATTTGTCTGCATCAGATTTCAAATTACTTGATAGTTGTTGTAATCTAACACTCAATATGATATAAAATAAGAATATAACATAAGGATGTTGTAATTTATAATTCCTAAGCATATTTCTATAAAACTCCTTTAGAACGTTACCAGCAATGTGCCCTTCACTAAAAGGGGTTTTGGTTCAGCAATCAAGACATATTCTTCGACTCTACACTAGGGATTGTAACTCCTTAAAAACAAAAAAAAAGGAAGACTGGAGTAACTCCTAAAAAGGTCAGTGTTTCCAAGTCCTAAAAAAATTGTGGAAATGCTGAAATTGTGGAAATACTATTGCATTGTCCCTAATAATGAGTCCTAAAAAGGTCATTTGTTTATCATCCATATCTATTAAAGCTAAATCCAAACTCATTATTTTGGTATTGATTTCTCATTGAGTTTAAACTTCATACCTAAAATTGTCTTAAAATTAAAGGCCCTATTTTGTTTTTTAAGTGATGCTACACTTTTTTTTTTGGGCCCCACAATTATGTCATTACAAGAATTAGGATTTTTTGAGACAAGTTTTTTGTGATGGTAGTGTTCACCGTCACAAAAAAGTATGTTTTGAAAAAAATATACATATATATATTTTTTGTGGCAATAGTAGTGTCATAAAATGTTTATTTGCCACCGTAAATTCTATTTGAGACAGGTTGTTATTGTCACAAAGACTTTTTAAACTCTACTTATTACGCCAAGATTTTGTTGAAACATGATAATTTTGAGACAATATAAATAATTCGAGTAATTGAGGGACTACTAATTAAGCGGATAGAAATAAATTTAGGCCAATGTAATATCAATATCTGGTTAGCTATATTGTAATAGCTTTATTTTAATTTTTTTACAGATGCAATAGATACGTAGCAGCACTAGTCATTGTTGCTATGGCCTTGGAATAAGACGAGAATTCTACTTTGGCTTTGAAATTGCAACTGTGGTTAATTATATTTTGTCCCCTAAATGATGGTCGGCATCTCACTTTGCCCACGAGTTATTCAACTTCATATATTGTTCTCTCAGTTACTTGAATCGATTTCACGTCACCCAAAATGCAAATGTCTATTATCTTTTAGTCGAAAAAATGTCAACTTATTCGAGAAAAAGTGAAGCAAGATCACATAGTTCAAAAGACCAAATGAAATTATTTTTCATCAAATTTCTAATGGACATATTAGTCATTGGGGGCAATGTGAAAGTAATAACCAATATGATAATTGAGAAGGCAAAGTGACACTTGCTTCATAGTTTGAGGACACAAAGTATAATTAACCCTCACAGCTACCTTTCTATCCAAACAGTTTATATTGAAAAGCTGTTGTTACCCCCGATCAGGAGAAAAAACAATTGTCACAATTATGTAACTTAAAACAGATCAACAAAACAAACTACATTGTTTCTTGTTTTTCATTTGTTTGTCAACAATATTCTTTATAACTACACCATAATGGTGATCTGGGTCTGCTAATTACTCATCTGATATCATTATTTCTAGTGACTTTGTCTCACTACTCCATTCGGGTCTTGTCGAGACCCAAACTATCTATTAATGGGCTAGGCCTGAGCAATGGTTGTCGATGGATGAATTTTTTCTTGAACATATCAATAGTAGATTTTGGTACTGAGGAAGCCAATGCAAACTTGCCAATTTGCAGTTTTTTTTTGGCCACAGATAATTCAGACTTGCATCGACTATCCTTTTGAGCTCTAAACTGATTACCGTAACTCATCAATTTGCATGCCATGGTCCAAGCCTAGTTTCACAACAGATCATTTGGTGATAAAGGATACCATAGAATAAATTGGGTGCTTGTAAGTATTGAACCTAAAAGGTTCAAAGTCTTATTCTTTTATTCATCATCAAATAGATCGATAATATTTTACTTATCTAGAGGATTTCAGTGATACAATGTTATTTTGTTCATCATGAAGAAGTATTATATCTAAGTAACATTGAAATAGTGAACTCACATCATTTTCGCTTCAAAACAATAAATAGTTGTGTCCCTTTCATGTTGCTGGACTCCATTAGGTGGAAATCCTCCATGCATTTCTGAGATATGTGTTCAAATAGGTCATCGACAATGTCACGTCCAAAGTGTTTCACAATAACTCCTTCCATGGCAGCTCTTACGTGCATTATCACAGCTTGGGCATTGATTGGGGCATCCTTCGACCTAGGGTCTATCAACTCCATTTTCTCGATGCTAAAACACCCATTACTTTCTATCAGCCTAGTCATCTCTTTAGCGGAGGCAGAATAAACAGGCAAGTTGAACATGTCGACTTGAGGTTCACTGATAATTCCCTGTAGTGAAATTTGTGAATACAACACATGTTTTTCGATAATGAGAATAATCAAAGAAGTAATGCAGAACAAATCTGTCAACCACCTCCCTTGTTGAAATATAAATATTTAAATTACACCCTCTTTAATAACTTAAGATTTTGACGTAAATGGTTGTTTAACATGACATTAGAGTAGGAGGTCCTGTGTTCTATTGACACGGCCACCCTAATTATTAACAGAGTTTCATGTGCTAGGCCTAAATTTTAGCCTACATGTGAAAGACTGTGTTGAAGTATATATACATAATTTACACTGTCTCCAACATCTTAAACTTTTGGAATAGATGGTTATTTAAAATGTTGGTATTTTTCTTCTAGAATAGTATCGAATTAATTCCTCCTATACTTTCAAATTATTTGTTGGTACCAACACCCCCGCCCCCCCCCCCCCCCCCCCCAAAAAAAAAAAAAAAAAAAAAAAACCACCTCTGTCTTGCCTAGAGTCTCTTGAATAATTTTAAGACAAGACTAACTTCCTACCATAAACATAGTTGTAGTTTGTTATGTTTAACTGATCCTAATTTTAATTTGTTATGTTTTACATCTAATCCTCTCAATATCCCGCAATAGCATAACCTTGTGCATTGAATTGGCTTTCTTCTATGTTTAAGTTGTCCAAACAAGTCAATTTTTTAATTTTATGGCTCCAAGATGGATAGTTGATCATTGACTCACCGCATTTACCATATCCATAAGGCCATCTTCAACAAATTTAAAGATCACACCAGTTGGGGTCTTAGAGTGATCAATATTATCCGGGAGACTTTGCATGATGAGTACCATCATTCCACCAACAACAATTTCTTTAGCTCTAGCATCCAAAAAATTCTCCATGTCGCTTTCAAATTGAGCTGCATAAGCTTTCATTACTTCATCTGAGGCACCTGTGTAGTGAATCTTTCCCTTATTCCAAGTTGAAGAGTTTTTATCTAGCAACTTCTCTGGCACCTTAGAGAGCCAGTGCAGTGCATAAGATGAGTGCACAAAATGGAGAGACGAAGAGGGAAATAACCGATCATAGAAAGACCCCGGAACTCCAACGCCAAAATATTTTCTATCGACAGGGAGGGAGGCAAAGAGGGTATTGAAATCATTGGAAATATGATCATTGAAAAACACTTGAAATTCAAGGTCTTCAGAAGGAAGACTTTGAGCATAGTATTTCTTTTCCATAGCTGCCATTACATTTTGCATGGCAATAAAAGTATTTGGTCCAACTGAACATCCCAAGTCTGCAAGATGAATTGATCTTGAAGCAAAAGTCAAGTGTTTTACATCAAGCTTCTCAACAATTGTCATGTCGATCATTTCTTTTACATTGTTTGAAGCTTCTCTCTGCAATAAACCAAAATATAAATTGATGTCATTGCTATCATCGTTGGCATTATATTCATGCAATATTTGTTTTTTAAACGTCTTGTGATAAAGTAAGGTGAAAAGTGTTGAATAAGGACAAATTCAATGAACAAAAGAAAAACTCAAAAAAAGGATCTATCATTAAAAAATTATAAACTCCACCCAAAATGCAGTATAATTACTAAAAGAAATGATAGGCGGTACGATACCAATTTTTTTTGATACCATAGTCAAGTACATTTTAACCGGCGTACATTTACACCACTACCATTTAAAAAAATTCAAGACATACGGACAACATTTAAGGGGGAGAAAGTAGAAAATTAAATGGTGATGGAAATTTTTTTTCTTATATCAATCCACCCTAGTTGAAAGTAAAGTCAACTAATAATCATTTCACATAACATAAAATACAAATCCACCGGTCAGCCTAAACTATGCCAAAAAAACAACATAATGTAACATAGCAAAAATAGATAGTATGAGACATATATAAAGTTTTGAGTAGTCATGTCAATTATGGTTTGGAGTTTAAAACGAATTTGAACATAAATCTGATTAATCTAATATGAATCTTTTTACAAATTATTTAAATGTGCATCCGAACACTTTATATATAATTCATATCATGACTTTAAAGTTGAATATACTAATATTTAATCTGATTGTGATGTGATATATATGAACTATATATAAATATATAAGGAGGTTGAGTAATTAGTTCATGAAATTTATTAGAAAATAATGTAAAAATTTGGGTAAAAATCAACTCCAATTGAGCTATTTTGATCGGATCAAGATGTATGACTTTTTGACAAATTATTATAATATGGACAGCGAAAATAAAAATCATTAGATATTTCAATTTACTTTTTCAAATTATAATCCATTCGAAGCTCCAATTTGAATTTGGTCCATTGATAAGCATAGCTTCTGGCATTAGTTTAGTTTTAGATGTAGGACCCAAGAAAACAAAAATAAGAAAACTTATAATATACATCCATGAAGATATTATATATTTCATTCATTTTTACATAGAAGAATGACGATTGAATTAATATCAAGATATACCAAAGTCAAAAGATTAGACCCAAACAACACCTAAAACTTAGGTGTTCTTTTATGAGGATAGATAAAGCATTCATCAACAACAAATTGAAGTACCTGATATTCGGAGTTCTTGGTGTAGCTGTAGATGCCATCTCCACCGTTCATCGGAAATGATCCCGACATCGTTACCTCTCTCTCTCTCTCTCTTCTCTTTATGGGCTTGTTTCTTCTCTTTCTTCCCAATACTACGCTGAATGTCTATATATTGACATCTTGCAGTAGTGGGTCAAATTTGGCGGGTGGTTTACCTCGCTGGAGAGGCTGAGATGTTGAATTAAATATGCATGCACTGTCATGTTAGAAGACATACACGTTGAAATTTGTACTGCCATGTTACGACCAATTGTGTTTGATCCTTTTTTTTTTTAACTTTATTTTTAGGAGTAATGCTATAATTGAAGGTATTCGGTCCAACTAAACGCCCTAAGTATACTAAACAAATTAGGTTTTTTTTTTTTTTTTACATCAAGCTTCGGAACAACTGCGCCGTTGATCATTTCTCTTTCATGACTTTTGAAGCTTTTCTCTGCCAGAATGCCAAATATAAATTGATGTCATTGGTTTTGTCTCCATCATTGTCACCATGGATGATACGCAGTCTAAAAGTCCAGTAGTTTGAAAAACTCGACTCAACATGGAAGATCAAGGCTCAATCTTTAATATTTGGATAGTAATGTCATTGTAGCTCGAATATTGTACATATGAAGTACCTAGTGTAGGTTTCAGTTTCATTGAATGGACTTTTTTTTGGGTGGGGGGGGAGGGGGTTGTCAACAGTCAAGATACCATTTCTCACATTTGCACCCTGAATTTCTTCGAAAAAACGCACCAATTTTTATCTCTTTTTAAAGAAATTTATGCCCCAATTTTGGGGGAAAAAATAAGAGTGAGGGGCAAACGTATTACTATCATTTAAATACATTCAAGATGCCATGTGAAACATCAATATCACCTTTGCCCCTATTATTGACTTGATGATAAACAGGGACTCCAATAGAAAGCAAAGTCAATTAACCTTATCATCTAAGTATGTTCGCCATTTTGACAAATAAAGTCTACTTCATTAAGAATGTTTGAAGGAGTGCGTTAAGTTCGTACTTTATAAAGAGATTAATAATAATTTCGTGTCAGAAGACATCCTGCAATACCAAAACTCCAACATCTATCATGAAATATTTATATTTTAAATGACAATTTATTTTTTCTTTCATTTTTTTAATTATGAAATTTGAAATTAAAATAAACAAAGGAAAAATAAGAGAGGTAGAAGAGAGAAAAGAGAAAGATAGGTGTAGATTAATAAGGTTGTTTTGACATTGGGGAGTTTGTAGATTGAAGTTTCTAACATTATGTGTCATGTAGAGGAGATAATGTTTTTTAGCGGGAAAAAAATTACGATAAATTTTATACCATTAGATCTATAAAAGAAAAGAATAGAAAACGAATATATTACTTTGATGTACTTTTTCATATACCTGAGGAGGTTTATTTATAATACAATGATATAGTAAAGTATCTTAAACTAACTGCTGTGAGATAAACATTATACATATATACATTAACATCACCCCTCAAACTCAAAGAGGTAAAGTAGAAATCAACTTGAGTTTGGAAACGAAATCAGAAAATCGGCCCATCAGATGTGCCTTAGTGAAGATGCCAGTAGTCTGGTCAGATAAAGAAACAAAGAGAAGATGAACTGTGTCTGGAGCTATATGTTGTCGTACAAAATTACAGTCAATCTCAATATGTTTGGTGCGATCATGGAGAACATCATTGTGATCAATCTATATTCCCCTAACTAACTAGTAGAAATTAAATATTGTAGACGATTTAAAGAAACATGGCCCAAACAAGAACGTCTAAGACAGAAAGGAGAGTTGGTCGCTTCAAAAGCAACAATAGTAGAAATGACTGAAGAATATAGCTGTTTTGGAAGGCGAAGATAGATAAGCTCAAAAAGACATCCATGCTTATAGTCTATCCCAAGGGTCTGTCTTGTTCGTGGATCCTGCAGTGTTAAAAATAACTAAACTGATGATTGATGGATGTTGTTGAGGTGTTCTAAAACCAAGTGACAATTTGATGATTCTTGATTTCCCATTCTTCAACACGTTCAACGTATTTGTCAGCCAGTTCGTCTTTAAGTTGAACATGTTCCTTAATTTCACCACTTATATAGTGCCAGAGTTTACGAATGTTAAGAAAACTGGTCATATATTGGGCCCAAACGATATAGTTGGAGCCCTCAAGAATGACCTGAGAGACATCAGATAGAGCCATCTTGACAGTCAATGAACGACAAGAAGGTCACGCGGAGGATGACTGGAGGGTCACAGGAAAATGGTTGGAGAGTGACTGGAGGGTCACTGGAAAGTCGTTGGGGCAGAGGGTGGTCGGAAGAGAAGAAGAGCCTCAAGATTTCTGATGTGGAGGATCCCTCGTAGGGCAATTACAGAGTACATTATCCTTGGTTAGCAAGGTTCATGAGCCTAAGCTCTGATACCATGTGAAAGAAGAGAATAGAAAGCGCATATAATTATATATTATTTTGATGTGCTTTTCCATATATATGAGGAGGTGTATTTATAGTACTAGGAGATAATAAAATATCCTAAACAAACCGATGTGGGATAAACATTAAACATATATACATTAACAAGATCAAGGTAGATAAATCTTAAAACTCTATTACGCTTTTATAAGTAGAAAATTTAACTTTCTAACTATACTAGTAGATAGACTGCTTTCAAATTTGAATCCACGACCTACTGTTGTTACTCTAATAGACAATGACCTTATATTCTGTAAGTGGAGAATATGTACGTTAAAGTCATGGGTCATTTTTTCCAAAATTCATACCCTTAGTAAACCTTGATTTTAAGTATGACAAATTAATATTAAATAGAGTGTTTGGTGCAAATACATTGTCCTACATTTTATTCGTATAATGCAATGCAGCTTCGCTAACAATTACTGTGAATATGGGTTTAGTTCCTAGTATGTCTTAGTGTTGAATAGGGTCCACTGCCCACTAATGGCAGCAATGCATTGTCTCTAAATTAGGTCATCAAATTATACACAAATAGTATATATATATATATATAGTACATGTCTGTCCAACACAATTTGTGTCCAATAAGTATAACTTGTGTATATATGAGTTGTGTGAGTTTTGATATTCAATGTAAAAAATTGGGATTGTTATACTTTACTCATTAACTACTGGGAACCAACATTGAAACCTACCTGAAAGGAACCAAAAAAACAAAAGAAAGAATCAAGGCTTATACTAGTTGAAACTTTGTGTATACACAGGTCGTTTCTGTATGAAGTTATAAAGCAAAAATAACTACTTTCCAGACCTCCTCCACATAACGCTGTGGCAATTTCTTCAGTGGTCTCATACTGTACACAAGCACAGAAAAACAAATACTCTGTATACTGCAAATTTTGCTTTCCACTCTTCATGAACTTATATTCAACAAAGAGAATTTTACACGTATGCATATTTTCCCCTTCTCCAAATCCAACTTAGCTCCTGTGACCAGCCAATGTCCAGGACTATCTAGTGGCCCTCTACACAACTCAGACAAGTCCACTATCTTCAACAGTTTCTGTGTCTGAACTTGCATTGGCGGCCCCGTTGGATACACGCCGGAATCCACCAAGACTGCTGGTTTTTTCTCTCTCTGCACATTCCCAGAAATCGACATATTTATGGCAGAGAAGAAGCTTGATTTCTGAGAAGTTTCCGATGAGCATTGCACCCAATTGGAGTGAACGATGAAAGAATCCGACACCTTCGAATACAAGAGTCGAAGATGTAGAACAGTCTTTGAATCGTGCTTTTTTACGTGGAGTTGAGCTCCAGTGACGATGAATACGGAATCTTTTCTGGTTGCCCATCTGGGATCATATTTTACAGGAGCAGTGCATATGTGGGAAAATTTTTTCCATTGGATTGCTTCAAAGTACCGATCATCGGAAACTTCTTCTGATCCTCGCCAAGCTAAGGCATCATCTATCTTGTCCACGAGCATCACCGGAGTGTTTGATAAATGTTGGAGGTGTATGGCTAACCTGCATAGATATGAGGCCATTTCTTCTCAACACCTAGTGTTAACATAGTAGGAAAAAAGCATCAAATCCATCTATTTTGAAGAATAAACATGATGCCCGAATCAACAAAATGATAAAAAAAAAAAGTTAAATAGCTTTACCATGATACAGAACTAACTGCTTGTCCTTATATTCATAGTGTTGAATTTGATGGTATTACCTATATATGCAAGGTGTTGTAGGTCACCTCCGTTCATAGTGCATTAAGTGATGAGGAAGTGAGGTTGTGGTAACATATAGATTATAGACTCATCTCTTTCATCGTTTAGTGAAGTATGTGATTGTTAGAGTATGTGTGGCTCATATTTGCTGTGTGCATAATGGCAAGGAGGCAGATGCTGGAGCGGAATTTGTATAAAGGGGATGTTGATTAGTTGGGGGTGCTGGGGCAACGCCCCCGCGGTACGGTACAGGGGTATTTTTGTAAATACGTCCGTATTAGGGTTATATAAATACTTAAGATGTAACCCTACTTTGAATAATAAAAAAGAACGGCCACTCGTTCTCGTGGATGTAGGCACATTGCCGAACCACGTAAATGTCTGTGTGTTATTTTCTCCTGCTTTCTTAATTGTTTGATTCCTTACTATTCACTATAATTGCTGCATGATCACAACAACTGGTATCAGAGCTAGACTACGATGTCTGGGATTTTCTCTACAAAATTCGACATCATGAAGTTCGACGGAACTGAGAATTTTGGATTATGGCAGAGGAGGGTGAAGGACCTGTTTGTGCAGCAGGGCATGGTGAAGGCATTATACGAAAAACAACCGGCAGGAATGGACGACATGAATTGGAAAGAATTGGAAGCGAAGGCTGTGGCGACTATTAGGCTTTGTCTGGCTGATGAAGTGATGTATCACGTCATGGATGAGGAATCACCGACAGAAGTTTGGTTGAAACTGAAAAGTCGGTATATGTCTAAGTCGTTGACGAACAAGCTCTATCTTAAGCAGAAACTATATGATCTTAAGATGTCAGAGGGCTCGAATTTGACCCAACACATCAACGTGTTCAATCAGATCATCAGCAATCTAAAGCGAGTTGATGTGAAGTTCGAAGACGAAGACAAGGCGCTGATGTTGATAAATTCCCTACCGGCGTCTCCTACGTACGAGAATTTGGTTACGACTCTGATGTGGGGGAAAGAAACCCTCGAGTTGGAGGATGTCATAGGTGCTCTGTTAGGTTTTCATCAGCGGAAGCAAGCCAGTGATGAGGCTTCACAAGGTGAAGGGCTTGTGGTGAAAGGTAACCAGGAACGTGGAAGAAGCAAATCTCGAAATGGATCGGGTAACAATAAAGCCCGGTCCAAGTCGAGGAAGAAGAAGAAGGACGTCTCTGTCTTGTGTTACAAGTGCGGGAAAAAAGGGCACTTTAAACGGAACTGTCTAGAGAAAAAGAAAGGGGATTCAGAGGACAAAGAGAGTGCATCAAAGTCTACAAACGTAGTGGAAGAATAAGATTCAGAGAGTGGTGACGGTGATATGCTCTCTGTTTTATCTAGTTTAGATCGTTTAACATATTCTTGGATTATGGATTCAGCATGTTCCTATCACATAACACCCAACAAAGATTGGTTTGACACCTACAGGTCAGTAAATTCTGGTTCTGTTCTGATGGGTAATGATGCATCTTGCAAAGTTGTTGGAATAGGAAATATTAGAATTAAGATGTTTGATGGTATGGTTAGAACGTTGTGTGATGTTAGACATGTACCGGATCTAAGGAAGAATTTGATTTCATTGGGTACTTTGGATTGTAATGGTTATAGTTACAAATCTATAAGTGGAGTAATGAAAGTGAGTAAAGGCATGCTGACAGTGATGAAGGGACAGAAAGTAGTAGGAAACATTTACAGACTACTGAGTACTACAATTGTAGGTGGAGTTACTGCAGTAGAGTCTGAATCAGATAATACAATCTTGTGGCATATGCGGCTGGGTCATATGAGTGAGCGTGGGATGATAGAGCTTCATAAGAAAAATCTATTGAAGGGTGTCAAGACATGCAAGCTCAATTTTTGCAAATATTGTGTTCTTGGAAAACAGAATAGGGTGTAGTTCAAGATAGCCATACACAAGACATAGGGGGTTCTCAACTATGTCCATACAGATGTTTGGGGACCAGTTAGCGTAGTATCACGGGGAGGATACATGTATTTCGTGAGTTTCATTGATGATTACTCACGAAAGGTCTGGGTGTACTTCATGCGAAACAAGTTAGAAGCGTTTGCCAAGTTCAAGCTGTGGAAAACTGAAGTAGAGAACCAGACAGGGAGGAAGATTAAATGCCTCAGGTCAGATAATGGTACTGAGTACATAGATTCAAAGTTCTAGGAGTTGTGTGAGCAGCATGGGATCAAGAGACACTTCACAGTCCGCAAGACACCACAACAAAATGGTGTAGCGGAAAGGATGAATAGAACGATAGCCGAGAAAGCTCGGTGTCTCAGGTTGAATGCAGGGCTTGCAAAGAATTTTTGGGCAGAGGTAGTGAATATGACATGTTTCTTGATTAACAAATCACCGAGGGCAGCACTAGATAGGAAAGTATCAGAGGAGGTGTGGACAGGCAGTGAGGTAGACTACTCTGGTTTGAGAGTGTTTGGATGTCCACCCTATGTACATGTTTCTAGTGAGGAGAGGTCGAAGCTTGATGCGAAGTCTAGACAGTGTATCTTTCTGGGATATCAGAAAGGAGTGAAAGGCTTCAAGCTCTGGGATCCGAAGGCAAATAAGATGGTGATCAGTAGAGATGTGGTTTTTGATGAAAAAGCCATGTTACAGCGTACTCAGGAAGAAGAGAAACAAGTACCAGAAAACTGTAGCACTAATGACCATGTGGTGCAGGTGGAGCTAGAGAATCAGGGTAGAGAAGAGGATGCTCAGCATGTAGAGCGTTCTATCTCAGGTGATCAGCAGCATCATAGTATAGCCACAGACAGGCCCAAACACAATATCAAGCCGCCTACCAGGTATGGTTTTGAAGATTTGGTTTCTTATGCGCTTATTACTAGTAGCGGGGATCCTACAACTTTTCAGGAGGCAGTACAAAGCCAAGAGAAAAGTAGATGGATGGGTGCTATGGTGGAGGAGATGAAGTCTTTGCATAAGAACCAGACGTGGGAGTTAGTGGAACTTCCCGAGGGGAAGAGAGCAATAGGGTGCAAATGGGTGTATAAGAAGAAAGAAGCAGTATCAGAAAAGGAGGGAGAAAAATTCAAGACTCGTCTAGTAGCAAAGGGTTACTCATAGAGAAAAGGGGTTGACTATGATAAGATCTTCTCCCCCGTGGTCAGACACACTTCTATCAAGACAGTGTTGGCACTAGTAGCACATTCAGATATGCAGTAGGAGCAGATGGATGTAAAAACAGTTTTCCTTCATGGCGACTTGGAGGAACGGATTTACATGGTACAACCAGTAGGGTTCAGTCTCCCTGGAGAGGAACATTTGGTCTGTAATTTGAAGAAATCACTTTATGGGCTGAAACAGTCTCCGAGGCAGTGGTACAAACGATTTGACTCTTACATGATCCGAATTGGCTACAAAAGGTGTGAGTATGATTGCTGTGTCTATGTAAAAAGGCTTGATGATGATTCATTTATTTTTGTTACTTTATGTGGGTGATACGTTGATTGCTGCCAAGAGTATGAGTGAGGTCAACAAGTTAAAGACTTTGTTGAGTAGAGAATTTGACATGAAGGATTTGGGTGCGGCCAAGAAGATTCTTGGGATGGAGATTCGCAGGGACAGAACTTCCAGGAGATTATGACAATCTCAACATAGCTATGTTGAGAAGGTGTTGGACAGGTTCAACATGAGTTATGCAAAATCAGTAAGTGCACCTTTGGCAAATCATTTCAGATTGTCTACCGTTCAGTGCCCGAAGACAGATGACGAAGTTCATGACATGTCAAAGGTCCCATATGCTAGTGCAGTGGGGTGTTTGATGTATGCTATGATTTGTACAAGACCAGATTTGGCACAAGCTGTCAGCGTGGTTAGCAAGTTTCTTTCAAATCCGGGTCGACAGCATTAGGATGCAGTCAAGTGGATTTTCAGATACTTGAGGGGCACTACAGACTATGACATCATGTTTAGCAGACAACAGAGTGACCATTCAGTTATGGGATATGTGGATGCAGACTATGCAGGGGACTTGGATGACAGGAGGTCTACCACAGGTTATGTATTTACTCTTGTGGGAGGACCTATTTGTTGGAAGTCCATGGTACAGCCTATAGTTGCACTATCTATTACTGAGTCAGAGTATATGGCAGTAGCTGAGACTGTCAAAGAGGTTTTGTGGCTTACAGGTTTAGTCAAGGAGCTGGGTGCCCAACAAGGTGGAGTTCAATTGTATTGTGACAGTCAGAGTGCCATTTATTTGGCAAAGAACCAGGTGTATCATGCGAGGACCAAACATATAGATGTGAGGTTTCATAAGATCAGGGAATTGGTTTATTCTGGTGAACTATTACTTGAGAAAGTTCACACTTCTGAGAATGCAGCAGACATGTTGACAAAGCCTGTTACTATAGACAAGTTCAAGCACTGCTTGGACTTGATTAATGTCTCTAGTTGCTAGATGAGAGATGCCGCAACTCAGCGTCCTCGGTGGAGTTTTCGAATACATGTCCTTTTTTTTTTCTCCTAAGGGGTGAATATTTGTCAATGTGGAGATTGTTAGAGTATGTGTGGCTCATATTTTTGCTGTGTGCATAATGGCAAGGAGGCAGATACCGGAGCAGAGCCCGCGACGACATTTGCCTTGCGGGATTTGTATAAAAGGGACGCTGATTAGTTGGGGGTGCGGGGGCAACGCCCCCACGGTATGATACAGGGGTATTTTTGTAAATACGTCCGTATTAGGGTTATATAAATACTTAAGATGTAACCCTACTTTGAATAATGAAAAAAAAGGCTGCTCGCTCTCGGGGATGTAGGTACATTGCCGAACCACGTAAATCTCTGTGTGTTATTTTCTCCTGCTTTCTTAATTGTATGATTCCTTACTATTCACCATAATTGCTGCACGATCACAACAGTGATGCACTTGATAAGTGAGAGTTTTGGATTTTCAATATAGTAAGTTGTAAAGCACGGGCCAACCCCAACACATACAATATTATACATGACGCATCCGCAATATTAAAAAAATGGTATAAAAAGCAAGCACTAACCAAAACTTAGTAGGAACCACACGAGGACGTGTGACCCTAATGGGGTGAATTCTAATGGCCTAAAGATTCAAGAGACCAATATCATTTTGGATCATAGCATTATGAAGCATGTATTACCTATTGCATTTCATTCCCTCGAGATACAACCGCATTCCAATAACCGGTCTCTTCCCAACTGTGACCTGATAATCAAAAGTTTCATTTTGTTACCATCTTATATAGAACTGGAAGGAGATTACTTCCAATGCAACATACTAGCATTACAGAGATGAATAGAAACATGACAACATGAGCAATCACCGGCTAGCCCGGAGGATCTCAGATGACTTCTAAAAGACTCACTCTTTTCTCTGTTCTAGGATTGAATCTCCCTAACAGAAAGAAAAAAATGCCACCACGTATACTAATAGTAAGTCGGGCTTCTTGGATCAAGAACCTCTATATGAGGCCCAATTTCGATTGACAAGATCAAGGTGGACAAGCTCCACTCTTTTACTATTAATTGGACTAGAGATGTACCTGAGTAGAGTTTACATAGAGCTTTGGACCCATCAAGTTGAAATGTAGGGCAGGGGTTAGAATAGCCCTATTTGTGGCAGGGCCTAGTGGGAAGTCATTGTGAACCGGAGCCCAGGCCTTATGCGTTTGGAAGTCCAGAAAGTACTGTAAATCAGATATAGGAGGCTTATCTGCACATCATAGACTTATGTAAGAGAAAAGTGATTAAGTTCAATTTTAGCCTAATTTATTTGTAATAGGCCTACAAGTATATATATATATATATAATAAAACAGGAGTATATTTGAATTCTATCCCATTCATATTTTTCTTCTTAAAATCATCACTAATCATTTACCTCACCTATCATCCCTTTGTCAGATTTAAACGTCAAATCACATCACTCATTTCTATCACATATTTAATCATTTATATATTTTTTTTCCTAAAAATATCACACTATTCATTTCTATCATATATTTTATCATTTAATATTTAATTAATATATAGGTAATATATTTTGAAAAAATGTAATATAGAAGGATCGATTTTTTGGACGCTTGAATTTTAAATTTTATCGTGCATTCAGGTACGGTTATGACTAGTATATATATATAATAGGTCCTACTTAAATTCATAAAAAAAAATGTACTAGACTTGATTCAACGTTAAAAGTGTATTACAAATAAAAGAATGTTACAAAAAAGAGTACTTACAGCGAAGATAGAGATTGATGGCATGTGATAAGAAACCCTTGCCCGGAACACCCTTAAGGAGAGAAGTTATCGGAATGAAGCTGAAGTGAATTGCATCCGGCAACGACGGAACCGTCAGAAGCCATTCGCAGTGCGTGTTGGCCGTCAAATCTCCACCCCTCTTGCAGCATATAACTGTTATTCCCTGCAAATTAAATTCATGTATCAAGATCAGTTTAGGGTTTTGCATGGTTTTAAAAGTACCATTCAAACAGATAATCCTGCTTAACTGCTGTAGAGATCCTTATCAGACAGTACATTAATTATGGGGCCTTTTCAATCTCATTCAACGTGGAATTGGACGATATAGTTTTAAAATGTGGAGTTATGGATGAGATGAATATGGTTTCATAACTCTTATCATTAATTTTTCTGTCCTCAGCTGCAAAACCATATCCATAACAAGACGAAATGAAGTCTAGATTTGTTTGTTTTTTTTTTTATCTTGTCTAGGTTTGTTCGAGTAGTTAAAATGTTCGTATATTATATGGGGTCTACTCTCACTAGACCCATAACAATTTTAGTGAGAGAAGAAAAAAAATAACTTTTCCCTAGGTGGTCTAATCAGTGTCCATCTTGGATAAAGTTACAGAGTAGTTTTTATATAATTTTATGATTTTTGTTTTATCTTTGGATTTTTTCAAAAAAAAAAAAATTATCCTTTGACCTCCTCGGCCATGTAGTCTATTTCAATTTGCCCCTTGAATTATAGAATTTCTCACTTGTCCCCTTAACAACTCGAATTGATTTTGCATTGTCCCAAATGCAAATGTCGGTTATTTTTTTGGACTGAATTTTTGAGTGTCCGAATAAAATGAAATAAAATCACTTGATTTGGATAGCAAAATGAAATATTTTTTTGTTAAATTTGTAATGGACATTAATTATTATGGCAATGTGAAACTAATAACATGATTAAAAAGGGAATATGAGAAATATGATAGTTGAGGAATCAATATTGTGAGAAAAATATCATAACTAGAGGGTCAAAATATAATTTATCTTTTTTTCTTGGATTTTGTCTTTGGATGGAATGATGGAAGAAAGACAAAATAAAGCACCGAGACTCTAGTGGGCATTCAACATATACAGAAGCACGGTAAAATGATCAAACCTACATCTTTTGCTGTGATAGATGGGCAGCTATTGAACAGTTTAGGTTCCGGATCAAAGACTTTGAAAGCCTGTGGTACCTGAAATCAATATAAATACTGTCATCAACATTCTCTCTTCAAAATAAACCACTACAATATACACACACACATATATATGTGTGTGTGTGTGTCTATATACACCCTTCCCCCCCCCCCCCCAAAAAAAAAAAAAAAACCCACCCCCACCCTCCAGGGTGATCATCTATTTTGAGAGGAAAATGTGAAAACCTTTTGTTTTTGTTCTTTGGTTTTGCACGGATGTGGAGAGAAGGTGCATGAGCCAGTGAACAGCTGATCACCTAGATCATCCAAATGGTTCTTTAGTGGTGATGGTTCAAAGTTAGAAGACTTGTCTTGCCTCACCAGCACAACATCTTTGCCCCCAATGCTCAGCCCCACAATGATGTGGGTACCGTATTTCTCTATGAATCTGTCAAACATCACAAATAATTGAGGACTCTTCTGCCAATGTAAGTAAGATTTGGATTGAATTCAATTATTGGTATGAGGTCTCAAAAATTCATGTAGTGTAGAGATAGCTCAATTTTAATTGAATATATCTCGTCCCAAAGATTATTTTTGTATTCTTTTTTATCTCTGATAATACTTTTAATTATCGAACTCAATTAAAGTATAAAATAATAACTCAATCAACTTTTTTTGGAGATAAAAATTAACATGTAATATTTCTACTTTCGATGGGTACAATCTACTTTTATAAATCTAAAAAAAAAAAAGATAAATAACAAAGTTCAAAACATATTCACATGTAAGTATGCAAAAAGTTCTTACACAAACCCTAGTGTACATTCAACATAATCTCACACATTGATTCTCTAATTTTTTTGGGTAAATTATTGATTCTCTAACTTACTTTTGACCAAAGCTCACATTTTAGTTTTTTGAGCTAGATGTGAGATTTTGTCTTATTGAACATCTTTTTAAATTTCACACCTTTTGAAATATCATCACCTAAACAACTAATGTCAAATATGTTGATTTTACCAAAGCAACAAATGCAAAGAATAATTCAAATCCGGGGAGAATCGGGTATGATGTCTACATATTAGTCATGGGTCATCCAATCACAAAATCCCACTAAAAAAGTATTCAAACCAGTTTACGTCCATTTGACTAGTTTTCTCTCCAATCTGAATAAAGACAAGTCATTCACACTAAAACTAGAATATTTATGAGGGATAAATTTTTCATGGCATGACCAAAAAGACTTTAACATACCCTTTGGCCTACATAACTATAGAGTGGCGCAATGCGATTGGTGGATCAATAAAGTGCCATAAGAGAACACCTCAGTGAAACCTTTTTGTACCAAGATTACAAATATTTATAATAAAGAATCTTATTCAACGGTTTTAAATAAATTCATCTAACAGTCACCAACATTTTTATCAAAATTATTCACATTATACCGTGTCTTCAGGCACGGGTTAGTCCTACTAATTTAGTAATACCCAAAAAGATGTATTATAAAGTTCTATACTATTATATTTAATCCAACCTAACACAGGAAAGAAAAAGCTAATGATATCCGCCGTTGATGTTGCTGACTTTTAATGTTAAGTTGACAAGGACTAGTTCTAATCATGTGTTGATTAGTCAAACAAGGAAGAATAATCCTCCTGATAAGCTACATCAAAGGTTTATGATTCAAGCAATATACATGTAGAAACACTCATGGTTTAGAATGGTCCTCTCTGGTAGTTTGGCCATCTGTTTTTCTTAATTTTACAGGTCAGCAAAAACGAAAAATAGCATGAAACTTCATATGTGCCACCTACCACGACATTCCATTGAATGGTATTCATAGCAACAATTCAAGGTGTTCACTCGGTAACAATACTAAAACAGGCTCCATTCAATTATTGATTATTAGGCTCTCTCTGTCTCTCATGTTGGGTTTTTTTTTTTTTAACATTCCGCCTGCAAATTCAACATGGGACCAACACAAAGTTAGCGAGTTCAGGCAGTAAATTGATGTACTCATGAGATAATTGAAGTAATTGGGTCTATACCAATTAGCCAAATTTGGCATAAACTCGAGTAAAGATAACTTATATATGACACAAATCTAATGTGCCACGAGCTTATATGTACCAAATTATAAGTGAGACAAGTGTTAGTTGAGCATTTTGACACTACACCCCTTACATGATTTGTAAACATCACATGACACAACCTATTGACAGCAATCAGAACAATGTAAAAAAAAAAATGGTTGAGATGGAATAGCTTTGGAAATCAAATTGGGTGGAGCTAACTATGCCAACAATCAACATGATGCAACCAAAAAGACTCAAAATTGAACCAACACCAGAAAATTATTACCTTGCAATAGCACATGGATCCCAAGTTGAAGGAACGGCATTTCGGACTTCATCGGAGAGAACAAGAGGATAACGATCAATGTGGACATTGAAGAGTACTATGAAGTAACCATCAAGACCTAAATATTTTGTGTTGGCTGCATCAATAGCCCATGAACCGCTTTGGAAACCAAACATTGAATTGAACAACCCAGATGGAATTTTTCCGGGCACCGAACTTTTTTGATTGAAAAATTCTGACATCTGCACCAATTTTTGGCCATAAATAAGTCAACTTTCGTACGAGAATTCCTATGCTCATAACCACGTCTTCTAGAATAATCATAACTATCAAATATACCAGCTTAGAGAAATAATAACACTTGTATACAGTTGATTGTATGTTTCTTAACAATAAGAAGAAAATAAAGAAGGTACGTTGCCTGATTGAAGTCCAGAATATCGGTTTGGTATCTTGTTCGATCGCCTTTATCACATTTGATGTCGATGGAAACATCTTTGAAGGATCCGAAACCTGGTACAATAAGTTCTTTTGCTTCTGTTTCATTAAGCAGGACCAGTCTGTCTTCTCCCTTGCAGTACTTCAGTCGAAAATCTGATGTTAAGTCGAACCCTTTTCCGAGGCTGTTGAGAGCCCTTTTTACTATATCATGATCAGTACTCATCTGTGTAATTATTGCAATGTTTCAGCATGCATAGGTGAGGGACAGAGAGGAAGAGGTTGAAGATAGAGGAGGTTTTGTGAGAAGAAAATATATGAATATGAGAAGGTCAAGAACAAGCATATCAATTTCTTTTTGAATGGTAAGTTTGAAGAGATGAGTGGAGGACAGAATCAATTGGTAGGATGTGTAGGAAGCTTCATTCCCTTTCTTGTTTCTTCTATGAATCTAGCTATAAACTTTGACTGCTCTCTCTGTCTCTATCAAACAATTGCCTTTAAATCCACAAACCTTTTTGGGTTCACACACGACGTGTACCTCAGGCTAACCCGTGTTGGTTTGTTGTCCCATTGAACTGTCTCGTATCATAATCTATTTCAGTCACACCCAATTTATTTATAATTATATAGTCGGGTTTCTATTGTATCGAAATTGTGTCGAGTATAAGTCACATTAGTAGATTCATGTTATGTTTAGCCGAATTCATGTCGATGGATGGTTTTATTTGACGGATATTTATGGTGTTTAGCTGCCTTTGTTTCAACCTTCTTATTTGACTGGGTGTAATATTTCTATTATGTCACAAGATAAATTAAGTTTGCTACTCAATATCAATTTTTGGTAATCCAAAAGTTAATAAAACAGCAAGCCATTCTTGTATTTGGGTTTTTCATTCAATAGAATTATTTACCTTCCGAAAAAAAAAATACTATTTTAATATTGAATTATTTAATAAAAATAAATTAGACCCTCCAATTAAATTCTTACATGTATGTGGCTCATGTAATAATTTTCACTATCTTTGTTAATTCTTTTACATTCACTATATTTATTAACTATTTCACATTTATTTATTTTTAAATAATTCAATACATTAAAAACTAATTTTCCAATAATGTTAGGATATTGTCCAATAAAAGTGACAATGAAAAGAAATTATAAATTTTCGTACGACAGGACGACCACTAGTTTTTAATACTCATTGATGTATCAAGCCTGGTCCAAAAAATAATTTGGCGGACATCAAATTTAAGTCTTATGAGTTTTTTTGAGTCTCAAGTCTTCTAGTTAGGAGATGAGGACTGACTATCTAAACTAAACTAATCAGTGACAGTTAAGCGTACATTTTCTTGGAAATTAACTTGCTTATTTGGTAGGTGAGGTAATAATATCACAGACTTTGTCTTATACAAATCTCCCCATTGAAAGCGTCCAAAGGTCAGAGCTCAATAAATTACTATTCAATCTTCCAACAAAAATAGGTTTGACTTAGCCGTGCATACTAACTACTATTTATTCTCCCTCTTGGCCAAATCCAAATCAAGAAGAATGATAACGTGGATGATCTTGAATCATAAACTAGCTGCTTCATTAAACTTATGGATAAATTCGTAAGAAATGTCAATTAGTACAGATCACAGACCACTTTGTTATAATCTATAATATAAAATATGACAGAGTTTAATAAATTTATCTGACAGTCTCAAATACACTCATTTAATGACCATCAACATCTCTCATAAAATCATTTACATTAAATTTTTTCACTCCCCCGAAATTCATCTTTTCTCACTTACGTTGTACCATGTATTTAGACACGAGTTACTCCTAATAATTAAATAAAAGAAACCCAAGTGGCTATTGAAAGTTGTAGCGGGAAGAAGTGAACGTGAAGACCTTGACCTTAAAGAATTGAGCTACACAAAAAGTCTCCATGGGCAGCCCTTTTCACATATTACCCCGTCTCTCTCGCTCTCCTCTTATTATAATATGGTAATTGCCCCCCTTTACTTTTGCAAGATCCTATCCACCTCTCTATCAGTAGAAATAAATCATTAAAATAACAGTACTATTACATTATTATTAACATGGTATAACTCCATAATAAAATATCTCATATGCGGGGTCCATCATACATATAGCATTCTCATGAAATGAGAGCAATAGAGTATCCATTCTTGTACTTTATTTGTGAAGTCAATCATCGTTTGTAATTGAAGACCAAAGATCTATGAACTAACTTACGCCTAATTAGCGAAGCAGATGAACGATATGTTAACATGTGTTGGTGATGACCTGATATAACTAGTATATTGGAATTTTTTTTCTTATGAGTACACCAGTCCATTTTTTAAAACAAAAAATATATATAATTTCTTTTTTCGGCTCGTTAAGATTTGGATCGAATATAAAACGCCAGTATAACTCAAAAAATCTCCTAAAAAATGAACGAGCAAAATTTAATTAGATAATACAGAACCTTAGCATTCATACCTATTTGAGTCCTGTTTAGGTTAACTTGCATAACCATTGAACCCAAATTCCCCATTAGGACTAACTTCTCTCCAAAACGAACAAACCGTTTGAGTTTTTAGTATACCAAAATTACACTTAGTCAAGATACTTTAAAAGTCAAAAAAAAAATTCTCTAATTTAACAAAGATTCAAACTACAATAGGTACCGAACAGGGAAAAAAAAAAGAATAAAAAAAATTTCTAAATGTGTTGTCATGTCAAAATTGAATTATTCATTTTTTAACAATAACTTGACTTATTTATTAGGGCTAATTGTACTGGAGGTCCTCAAAATATGGACTTTGTCTCATTTTGATTTATAATATTTCAATTGAATCATTTGAGTCTCTAAAATATTGAATATATTTTTATGTGACCCCTCAAACAGACAACGTTTAGATTGCTAACGATTTTTTATTGTAACTTATCATGTAATACCTAAATATGGGCAAAATAAATTGTTTGGATAACTCTTAACTAAATTTCTATCAAAATTTTGGTCAAGAACTACCGTATTACACATTTTTTATCAAGAGTTACCCAAAAATTTTTTTGCTCATAGTTAGGTATCACATGACAAGTTTATGACCAAAACCGTTAACAAATTAGAAGTTGTCTGCTTTAGAGACCACATAAAAACATATTCAATATTTCAGAGACCAAAATAATGCAATTGAAATATTATGGACTTCTGATAAAAAAAAAAAGAATATTATGGACTAAAATGAGACAAACGTTATAATTTGGAGACCTCTAGTACAATTAACCCTATTTATTATTCACGTTATCAAATCATGTTATTTTTGAATTAGTGTTGAGAATAAGTTAATCCTAGCCCGTTAATTTCATTTTATTTATTTTTTTGGCCACACCGGTAATTTCATATTGAGTTTGTATGATGTTAACATGTATATAAAATATTGTCAAACCCATTAGGGGATAGAGTTTTGCTTCAATTATTGAATATAAATTAATTATATAATATTTAACCAACTCGGCCCATCACGTGGTGGCACACTCGTAAGGCAGGACCATGAGCCGCGTTTTGGCCAATATTGACACAGCCTTGGACCATACTGCATTTAATTGTGGAAAAGGATCATGGAAATAGAATAACACTCATTCCAATGGGTTTATAGTAATGAATATTTATTTCTTTTACCATGAAATATCCACTAGCATAAGATTAATCATTCTTTAATATGAGTTGGTATTACTCATTCGAAACTACCACCATGGCTCCCAACCCCCCCCCCCCCCCCCCCCCCCTCCCAAAAAAAATTAGTAATAATATGTATTTCAAATTTGTAATCTAAATTTGTATTTCAAATTAAGGATGATCATTGGATTAATAGATCTCATTTAAAAAAGTTGATGAAACTCACTAATCCTATGATCCTCTTTAATTTTGAATACAAATTTAGGTTACAAATTTAAGATATATAGCACTACTCAAAAACAATATACTTGAGTACTGATTTAAGAACCTAGTTTGGGTCTAGGTTGGAGATTAGGGTCTATTGTTCGAGTCCAATTTTGGGTTTTGTGTCAATGTTAAAGTCCAAGATTTGGGTCAAGGAATAGGGTCGTCAGGGTCTAAATTTGAGTTCGTGAAAAGGATCTGGGTCTGAGACGATGTTGGGGTCCAAGTTCCGAATTAGTTTCTAAGGTCCAAGTCTAATTCTTGGTTTGGTGTCGATGTCTAGATTTGGGGCCTGGGTCTAGGTTGAGGGTGGGGGTTGGGTTCCCAGTGCAATGTAAAGTCAAGGTTTGAGTCCAGGTCCAACTAGGGATCGAGGTTCAATTTTAAGTTAGGGTGGGGAGTTGGGGCAGGGTAGGGTAGGGTAGGGTTAGGGTTAGGGTCCAAGTTTGAGTCCATGTCAGTTTGGGAACGAGGTCTGAGCTTGGGGTTGGATTAGGGCATCAAGATCGAGGTCCGTATCTGAGTTTGGGTTCAAGTCAAGATTAGGTTTGGAAACGAAGTCCATGTCTAGGTCAAGGCATGAACTCTAAGATCGAGTTTGAATCTAGGGTTTTGGGCCTGGGGTCTAGTTTAGTGCCCAAATCCAGGGTCCAAAGCTATTTGTCAAGATCGGCATCAAAAAATATTATTTTGGTTAAATGACTGACTTATCCAAATATTAGAATGAATTTTTAGTTTTATTCATAAACTTAATCTTAGTCGTTGATAATGCATATTTCATTTGCACATTTATTCCATCTCCACATAATAGAATTATTGCATCAAATGCAATATTAGTATTTAAATATAACAATGAAAGGAAAAAACTGATACTAACTCATTTAGAACATCTCCAACTATGACTCAAATTTTTACTTAAATTTAAATTAACATTTTAGTAAAAAAAAAAAAGAGAGGTAAAAACTTGATTTAATACAAATGGCTCCAATGAACAAACTCAAATTTAAATAAGGAGAAAATTAAATTTAAATGAGAGCAAACCTAAATTTAAAAGACAGTAAAGATGATCATTGGATCTTTAAAAGATAGTAACATTTCACCATTAAAGATTTGAGTAAAAATTTGAGTCTCCCTTAATTTGATATAAGTTTGAGTTAAGGTTGGAGCAAGTTTTTTATACTTTTTACTCAAATTTAAATTTAAATCTAAATTTGAGTAAGTGTTGAAGATGCCCTTAAAAGCACTCTAAAATCAGACCTCTTTCGCCACTAGGCCAACCCAGCCAATTGATCGACCGGTGGCCCTTTGGGCAATCCCGTCCGACTTGTTGCCAACCCTTATGACCAAGGAATGGGTAGTTATGTGGAAGCAAAAGTTAAAACAATTCATGAAAGCAATTGAACAGATGCAAA